CGGTCTCGTGCTTCCAGCGCCGCAAGTTGGAGAGGCTGAGTTGGAAGATATTGTCAAGATGGGAACCACTGGACAGCGCGCAATTACTGCGGGCAGCAGCGACAACATCGCAACACAGGGCCTGATCGGGAACTACTCGAACATGATTGGCAACACACCCATTCGCACGCCCATGGCTCCCAAGGAGGAGGACTACGTCGCAAATGAAGTGCGGAATGCTCGGATGCGAACAGAGACCCAATCTGCTTTGCTAGGTGGCGACAACCCAGATCTCGTAGACGACGAAGCACCCGCCTCGCTATCAGGACCCGCTTCACGACACCAGATTGTGACACCAAACCCCATGGCAACACCTTTCCGGCAAGCCAATGGCGGAGCTGGAGAAACACCTATGCGCCAGGGACCGGGAGCGACACCCATGCGAACACCACGCGATACCCTTCGCCTCAACGGAGAGGAGAGTGGCATGCAACTTGTTGGCCAAACACCCCGCGATATCAAGTTGAGGGAGCAAGCAAAGCGGCAAGACCTGAAGAGCAGGCTTGCTGCGCTGCCAAAACCCAAAGAAGAGAGCTGGGAGTTTGAGCTTCCCGAAGAGCAGGCAGATCATATGGAAGTCGAAGTCAGCGAAGAAGACGCTGCTGAGCGCGACCGAAAAATTCGTGAAGCACGCGAAGCCCAGGAAGCCGCAGACTTCGGCAGGCAAAGTCAAGTCGTGCAGAAGTTCCTTCCAAGGCCATCGCTGGTCGACATTGATGTCATGATGAAGCGCGCGTTGGACCTCTCTGACCCTGTCGAACGCGAAGTCGAAATCGAGATGGCTAAGCTCATCGCGAACGACGTCCAGAAGTTCGGTGATGGCCGAGTAACTGGTTCAGTAACACGTCTCGATTCCATGACCGATGATGCTCTCCGAAATGCCAAGATGGAGCTCGCCCTTGAACTTGCCATGACCTCAGACAAGGACAAGAAGGCCTTCCACGCCGAGCTCGACAGTTCTTGGACCACGCTTCACGGTTCCGCAATGCTGCCCGGCATCGCTGGCTACGAGGAAGACGAGATCGATGAACACCAACTGCTCGTCGAAGCCTTCGACAACGCACAGGAGTCCATCATTGAAGCCGCGGAACGTGCGAACAAGATCGAGAAGCGATTAACTACACACCACGCCGGATACATCAAACGATCAAATCTACTACGGGAGAAGATCAGCGGCGCATTCTCAGCACTCGAGCGTGCCAGAGACGATTTAAACACTGCGAGAACGGCACAATACAGCGAGCAAGATGGTATTGCACGCAGACTGGAGAGCCTGCGCGAGGAAGTTCAGTTCGTTACTAAGAGGGAGAGGGAAGCACAGGAGCTGTATAGGAAGCGAAAGGAAGAGTTGGACAACTTGCAACAGCCTGTCAATGGTATACACTAAGCGATTTTGGGGGTAGACACTTTGGTCTAAGCCTGTGTTTTGATATGATTAGGGGAATGGTGGAGGGTTGGTATGCATTGGCGTGGCGTTGGGAATTGCACGGCAGGCAGATACATATTATGAGACTGCTTTTGGAGAGTGAATGTCAATACTATGATACACCTCAACTAGTTCAACTCGTGATCATGTAAATCGTGCTCATCTATCGACGGATATACCGAACTCGTGACCACCAAACGATTCCTCGCGTCAGGTACCAAGAATCTTATTTCTCGGGCTTGTACCCAATATTTAAGCTCTGCTCTAAGGGCACACATACATCATGTTACATTCTGCAAGCACGTTGCCCGACAAGCCCGCTAGTACCTCTACCCAATATCCGAAACTGCGAGGCTGCCCATAGTCTCGCCATTGACAGCCCATAAGCTTTGAGCTAACACCGCATGAAGGCCCAACGCTCCCAACTCTCATAGCCTCACTTGCATACTTCGCACGAGCGTCACAACAACAGATTTCAAATGCGCAAAATTGCAAAGTAGAAAGTAGATGTTCATGTTGAAAGAAAGATGTGATCATATTCCATAATATCTGCCGTGTGGTAAAGCACCCCCCAGTCCAATCCAGTCCATTGGGGTATAAGAAAGCCGCAAACCCAATCCAGCATACACACGCTCTCAGACGAGACGTGTAGAAAAGGAACCCCAAGAATCAACGCCATTGACACGTCACCGTGCATACCCAATCTAAATCGCAAAAGCCAAACCTTCCACAAAGACGTGTGGGAAGATGAAAAACGCCCCATCAAACAGTTCAGTCGTAAACATGTTCAAGCATAACCCAATCAATCAACAAGCGCCAGCAACAAACAAAGTCGTATGCATCTAGCACTAGCACTTCCCATCCAACACCTCAAAGATGCCCACAACATGCACCTCACTCGCGCCGCGACCCATACTCGGTCTCGGCTCGAGGACATCGAGTTCGGTCTCGAATAGATGCTTCTCCTCTTCCATTTCGAACTCGTAGACGCTGGGCTTGCGGCGCACGGCGAGGAGTTGGCGGATGGAGGAGCCGGAGGAGCGGTGGCTGTGTGGCGACGAGTTGCGCGTCAGCGGCGATGTGGTGCTGGTGGTGAAGATTGAGGAAGGGGAGGCTGAGCGCAGAGAGTTGCGGGTGGGGCTGAAGGCGGTCTTGAGGCGGCGGAGGGAGCCGGATGTGCTGCGCAGGGGGGTGAAGGATTGGAAGCGGTTGGTGCGGCTTGGGGAGGGCATTTTGGATGGTGTTGTGGTGAGGTGGTGGTTGTTACGTCGGAGTTGAGGTTGGAGATGGTGGAATTGCTTTTCTCAGGTGACGGTTGCTATGATGTAGCTTCCCGGTATTGTTTGAGCGGATAGAGACGCGGAGTGTTTGTCGGGGTCCGATTGTAAATGAGGGATGTTTCGAATAGAAAGATCCAGCTGTCCTTACGAAGGAGGGTAATGTAAGGAATGGAAGTTCGTAGGGATGTGATAGGACAACGAGTGTTGGGTCTTGTTGATCGGCTTGCGAATCAGAAGAATGGTAGAAGTGAAAGAAGTTGCAAAGGGGAGATCAACTCTGTTCAAAGGGTATATATGAATGTAGATTGGGAGACAAGTAGTGCGTGGTGGTCAAAGACACTTCGCGCACAGTCTGAAAAGCGAAGGTAAGTTAAAAGGAGGAGGAGGAGTCGGGAAGATGGAATGAAGAAGGAAGAAAACCTATTCCTGTTAGTTTTAGTCGAGAAAAACAGGCGGACGATGGCGCATCCTTAAGCATGCGTGTCGCATGTTGGCACTTCTCTGTGCCAGTGCGTGTTACGTCCCAGAAGGCTAAAACCCTGGAAGGTAGGACATGGGACTGCTGCAGCGGACATCCCTGTCAGGAACGCGTGAATTGAGGGGTCGAGCCTCGTTTGATCACCCGTCTGGAAACAAGCGAGCGGGAGTCGTCGACTGGCGGCCCATTGGGAGTGCCCGCGGAATGATTGCATGGCTTCATTTCAGAGAGCTGCCTGCAATCGATAAGAGATTAGGTGGCAGTGGGTAGTCGGGGGATCATCCTCATTACACTGTGGAGCTTCGTCATTTTGTCGACTTCGTTGGTGGCTTCACACAAGATTGTGAGGGCTGTCCGGTGCTATTCTTACGTCGGCGAACTGCTAGTGGCTATGTTTTTGTTGACATGGACGTTGGTGGTGTTGCTTTTGCGCCCGACACGACGCGTTCTGGCTGCTTTGTTGTCATCATCGCCCGGCGCTCTGCATCGTCTCGCCAGGGAGGTGTCCACCATCACGTCCAAGCCATAAACTTGTTGAACAGGCACGATGATCGGAGGGCTTTCCGCTCGCCCACGAACCTGGAGCCGGTGACGAGCCGCTCCCAGTTCGGCCGCTTCAGACGTGAATCACCCTGGCTGTTGTTTCTTGCTTGCAGCCCGCCAGCCCATAAGTAGGCATTACCCAGCACTTGAAGCTCGCAGTGTCTCCATGCTCAACCGGCCTGTCTCGAGACCGGGTGCTGCGTGTGTGATGCGAGAATCTGCGACAGGCGAGCGTATCCCGATGCGGCATGGCGCGGTTCGCCCAGCTGTCTAACGGCAGACCAGCGTTTCAGACGCATCGGACGTTCAACAAATGCAGACGCGGTTGTGATGCTCCCGTGTGATGCTACAGTGTGGTGTGTCAACGCTGGAACTTGTGGGTGGCGAGCCAAAGATAGGTATGCATTGTGCTCACTGTTGGTGACGTGAGGGTGTCTGGTACACACCACACTTGAACGCACATCAGGTAAGAGCTCATCGGCGAGGAGCAGATCAACGTTTCAGGTCTGCATGCAACATTCGTCGAGGTGCGGGGCGATCCTATATCATAGTGCGCTATAATCGCGTGGTCCTTGTCGGGTCTAGAAGAGACGGAAGAAGCTCATAACCAGCTGTAAGCAAGGGACTGGTTATTATGCCTTCCAATGCCGACCGACGGAAGGTACAATTAGCGTCTGTCACCTGCGTCTGTTCATGCTGTCGGGTTATTTTTTGAACCATGGTACGGTTGGGCTTGGACGAAGAGACTATTGTATGTGTGTTCACGATGCACGTTGAGTAGCGTACCAGACGTCTCGCGAGCTATGTTGTGACCTAATACAAACGGCTCTCGTATGCCTCGTGTAGGAGTCGACGGAGTGATGGAAGTGCGCACTATTGGGAAAGATATGAAGCTTCGTGATAGTAATATCTAAGGTGATTTGATCAATCGCTCAACGCCGACGCTATGCAATGCCAAAAGTTAACTCCACCGCCATTACACCATTACAGGCCGTATCCCCATTCCCAACCGAACCATGAATTCCACATCATGGTTGCGTGTTGGGTTGATGCCGGCCGCTTACGTATCCAATCATTCCAGACGTTCATGCAACAGACTCCGTATCGTACGCCATCCTGAACCATCCCGTTTTGGCTCGACGTGTTGCCGAACCCACACCAAGCCAGCTTGATCGACGTGATTGACACCTGCTCATGCTTGTCTTTAGCGTTCATACACAAATCTTCTCGGACTCTAGCTGCGCCGCCGCTGAGTGAAACTCCTTCTAATCGATTCGCCCCATGCGGAGTTGTCAAGCACTTCCAAAACATCTGCCGCACTGACTGCGCTATTTGCTCGGCTACGACTGTTCGCTTGCCCAGGATCGACTTCGAGAGGACTGGGTGGTCGACTAAGCGCCGAGGCAAACTGCCATTCTTGCTCGCTGCCAGACATGGAGAACGGTGATGGCTGCGGGCTTCCCCGTGTAGGTGAGCCTGTCGGTGTTTGTTGTATCGAGTTGGTTCTGCTCCTTGTCCGGTCATAAGGGAAGGCCGGTGGCGAAGTAGACGCGCCAGCAGAGTTGCGAGGGGAAGGTGCGTAGAGATCTTGAGGTGAGAAGAGAGGACTGGGAGGTCCAGAAGATTGAGTTCGCTGGGCATTTGTGATGTCCTCGTCGTCGATGAAAATCTCGGGAACAGTGAACTGGGGCACTGTTGCCATACGCCCCTGCTTCTTCAGGTCCATCGCACGACGGAAGCGCCGTGCCCAGTATAGTGTGTCGAAAAACCCTTTGACCACGTTACGGCGGACAGCTTCTTCGATTCTTTGTAGACGAGCTCTGCGTCTCAAGAACTCTTCCAGTCTCAAGCTCTTGTTGTCGTTGATGACTTTGTGATGAGCCAGAATCATAAGTAGTGATGAAAACCCAACGCCTCTGTCGGGATCGCTCGACACAAGTACTTCCTCATAGAAAAGATTCATACGCCTTCGTCTGCGACGTATCTCCGCGACTGGTAGCTGGGCGAGACACCGGTTCAGTTTGTCCAGGTCGATCTCCTTGGTTGGTTCACGGCCTGACACAGGAAGATTGGACTCCCTTCCGGGTGCCACCCCACACTCTTCGATCAATCGATTCACAGTGAAGTCGCAGTCATAGATACGCATCTCGAAGATACCGGACAGTTCCTGATATAGTTAGTTTTGTGCTTGAATACGGCAATGATGAACTTACACCCAGAAGCCTGGGGAACACTTCTCTCGAGATGTAGCCGGTCCCGTTTGGATCGTACTCAGCCCAGGCTTGTTTGAAGCGACGAATTTCCTCTCGGCTGATGACTGACAGCCCGCTACTCCTTTGATACACGTAACTGAAACTCTCGTATATCAACGAGACGAACAAGTTGACGAAGATGTACATGCTCAAGATGTTCCAAGTGATGAAGAGAGCTCGCGCCCACTCGGGACTACCGCAGTCACTGTCGAAGTATCTTCTGCCCACGGTGCAGTAAGGTTTGTCGACGTTTGCAAAGTCCTCCATGAACTCATTCCAGCCCTCGCCACCACTCATCACAAAGAGAAAGACGAGTGCTTTGGGTACTGTCCGGAAGTTGATGTTTCCAGTCTCGCTAGCTCCAAATCTGGTAAGACCAAAAGTTTGCGTGAGGGCGATGGCGTATACCAGAAACAGGACGAACCATGTGGCGAGCAGGTTTGCGATGGATGCGAGACTTGCTGCAGCAGTCTTGAACAGCTGGTCGAGTTGATTGTTCCGAGGGATGAGCATGAGAGCAATGGAGACAAGGAAGAGCTTGTGCAGCTGGACGAAGGGCCTAACATCATCCTTCGCTAACACAAGAATCGATGTCACGAAAGTCCCCGCAACCGAGAAGATTGAGTATATGTCCCATGCGCTTCTCCGGAAACGGTGCCATGAGCGACCGATGATACGGATGACGATGTTCGCAATGAAGACGATGGTAAGCGCAAGGAAGATGTAGTCTAGTCATGTTAGTATTAGAACATGGATTCCATGCAATGAGAACTTACCCCTAGCTACCTCCCATGGGCCATAACCGGGATACCACTCCAAACACAGCAGCAGGAGGTGCAGTATCAGAACGCCAGTAATAAATCTCTGCCATGGTCCGGTCTTGGTGACCGCCCTACGGTAACACCACTCTTCCCAGCTCTCTCGTACCTTGGTGGACGAAGGTCGCTTGGATGGAGCGACTTGACGAAGGAGCTTTCGTAGTTCAAGCCAGGAGCGCTGATCTGTCGTCAAAAAGGCGACACCAGTCTGTTCCGTGTAGTTGCGCATAAAGACGGAAACAAACAGCGTCAACACGAAGACAGCTCCGAGCAAGTTGAAGACGATGAAGTAGACAGAGTTGCCCTGCGATGCTCTGTCTGCTGGCTGTGTGTAAACTCCGGTGATACTCATTGCAGTCCACATGTTGTCTGTCCAGCCTTCTTGGGAAACAATCTGGAACAAGATGAAGAGGGCATCTCCGAAGTTATCGAAGTCGTAATAGGGATTGGCAGCTTGGCGTGGGGCTAAAACCTCCCAGTCGAAAGGCTTGCTGTTGTATTCTCCCACACAGTCTCGGAGACTAGCGCCTCCAGGGAAGTCACCATCGTTGCAGGACTGTAGTTGACCGACGAAGAGATTCAGACCGTAGATGGCAAAGGGGATCAACAGACTCAACGACACGAAAGCAGCCTGGTCACAATTAGCTCTGAATGAATAGAGGTTGCAAGATGCTTACCGAGAACAGTTTCCACCAACCGCGAACGATGAGCGCGTGGAAGTGGTTCCGTGCACTGTCGCTGATGTTGAGCAAACGTAGAGCCCTCAAAGCTTTGAATGCGCCCACGGTTCTAGTGACTTGGCCTTCGTTCAAGAACGAGGTGCCAACATTGACCCAAAGAGTAATCAATACAATGCCATCTATGAAGCCCCAAGAGCCGCGGAAGTAGGCATTGGGTGTCCAAAAGAAACCATCAGCAATCACTTTGATCAGCGCCTCGATGCTGAAGAGCACCGCAAAGCCCATGTCTACCCATACGAACCAGTTCTTGACGCTGAACTCGTGGGTCATGAAGTACTCGCGTTGGTACAGCGGCGTTGTGATACAGGCCAACAGTACCATGGCGATAATTGCAGCATAGATGAATGCCGAGAACGCATACCAGACAGGGACAGATGGAGCTACTCCTTCGATACGGTCACCACCGCGGCCAGGGCCTACGACACGCTGACATAGCTTGCGTATGGGGTTGTTGGCTCGGAAGATGAACAGGGAAACGTTGTAGTTGGGGTGGTTTCGTAAATACTCGCGTTGAGCCTTCTTACGCCTCTCGGTAGCTGAGACAACCTCCTTTGCCATGCTTCTTGGGTCAAGATCCTCATATGCGCGGCCGAAGTCGAGAGGAGCGTAGAAAGGGTTGGGCTCCCGGTGTATGATTCGACGCTGGAATCGTTGCCAGATTGTGGACATGGTCCCCGATCCTACTATAGTCTTGGCTGGGCGGATGCCTGGTCGCGGGTCTTCTTCTTGTGGGCTTTCGCTACCGTCTGCCTCGTCAAGAAAGTCACGGACGACCGCATCCTTGAGCAGCATTTCTGTGGCGGCGTGTCCATAGTCGAGTGGATCTCTGCGTCGTGCCTGCCCGAGTTTGAAGATGGATGACAGAGATAGATTACTAGAATGGGTGAGCTGGTGTATCAATCACAGGGAAGAGAGTCCAACATACCCAGTGGACGAAGTGAGACCATCTTCCTTTTGCTGCAGAAACGCTTTGACTTGCTGTAAGCGCTTCTCATCCTCAGACACATCGAAGTTCTCCTGGATGACAGCAATAAACATGTTCAGGACAATGACTAGTCTTTGGTTAGTCTTTAGTCCAGATCAAAGGTCGAGTTGTACTTACAATTAGCGAAAATGAACCACATGATACAGAAAGACGCTCCAATCCATGCTGTGCCAAACGGCTTCTGGAATTGGGTAACAGTGTACAGGATACTTGTCCAATCTTCACTGGAAAATATTTGGTACATTCCCAAGAACGAATTGTAGATGTCGAAGAACGGCACGCGAATTGTCTCGCCATCGTCTTCCTCCGGAATTTCGCCGCGGAGCAGCTTTGAGGCGAAGATGGATGCTAGAAAAGTCAAAAGGAACACAAAGAGAATCAAGTTCAATAGACCACCCGCGTTTCCGAACACGACTGTCTGGTATGGCTGTTAGTTCAGGAGTTCCCAATGGCGGAGAGGGTAACCTACGATGAGGTCGCGTGTCATCGGCACAGCCAAGACAACGCGATAGACACGAAGGATCTGGAATATCGACAACCAGGCGTAGGCTTTTCCATTGTGTGCATGCTTGATGGCTGGTATCTGTATGACAGCTGTGATGATGGCGATCATAAGGTCGATGACGTTGCGCCTGCTCCTGAAGAAATGCCTCCAGTCGACAACAATTCGTACGAGAATCTCAACGAACAGTATGAAGGTGACGACAATTTCTGCGGCATTGATGAAAAAACGGCGAAAGTCGCTCATGTTGGCGCTTCTCATCATTTGAGCAACAAGGCCAAAGGCTATGACAGCCACCCATACCCATAGAGTCCTGTCGTAGAGACGTTTGAGACTACTCACGCGCTGTTTCTCGTCGTTCTTCTCTGCATCTTCATCTTTGATCTCCACTCCGGTGAAAGCACTGGTCTTGCTTTCTTCGCGGATGATTTGGAAGGAGGATGTGATGACAGCAATCAAAAGAGAGATGAGCCACAAACTCAGGATTAACAGCCCTACGATGAAGAAAAGAGCACTGATGAGGTAGTCGGTATCAGCTACCGTGTAGAGCAAGTCGGACCACGTGTTGGACGACATGATGACGAATACAAGCTCAAGAGACTGGAGGATGTTGTCGAAGCTCTTCGTGCCTGCAAAAGGGTTGTCATTCTCAACGCAGACTGAGCCCTTTGGACAAAGAAAGCCTTTGCCGTGGTCAGGCCCAGGTGGCATGCCCGCCGCAGGTATGTATGTTTGGGGATGATAGCCTTCGATGTCGGCTAAATGGCCACCGCAGAATTGGGCATCATTCGTGAAGTTTGGCTGTCCCTCCGGAGCTAACCACACGCAATTTCTCCGCAGACTTGATTTGAAACTTTGGACACCGACGATGGAGAAGAGCAGCCAGAAGAATCCGATGAGGAAGGCGACGTTGACCAGCAAAGGCGCAGCCTTCTTCAAACTTCGGAGAATGACGGAGGTTCCGCTGGTGAGGTTCAGAAGACGGATGATTCGCAAACAGCTCAACATGTCGAACACGAGTATGACTCGGCTATTATCAATGTTCCACAATCCTAGGACAAAAGCAATCCAGTACGAGACAACGGCAACAAAGTCGGTTCGATTAAACGAGTGCCTGAGATATGCCCGATGCGCGAGGCGAGTACGTACTTGGTGACGTGCATCGCCTACTCCGATGTCGGTGTGCATCTGTGCAGTAGTGAAGGACCGGAGCACGGAAGGCTGCTGGGGGTCTGGAGCAAAGTCGGTGTTGGTGCCCGTTTTTCGCTGTGAAGGCTGTCGGTGGAGACCCGAAAATAGCTGATTTGCTTTACTCATGACAGCCTCGCGCAAGCCGACCTGGCGGTTGATGGTGCTGTACTCGACGGGATTGATAATGAAACCAGAGACGATGATGCGGACAATGACCTCGAATGTGTATATGATGAAAAGGCCCATGAGAGCCCAGTCGATGCCATTGAAAGTCGAGATTTCTTTGCTGTGCCCAGTGTTATAGACTGCCCTCGTACGCGCATCCACTGCTAGTAAAACCGTCTGAATCACGATAAGAACGAGCAGCAGTGGCTCTGTGACAGGATGCACAAGCAGGTCGCAAAGCCTGATTCTCAATTTGCTGTCAGCAGGGAAAATGCCAAGACTCTTCCCGCGCAAGGGATTTGGTGGATGGTTCCATGATGCGCTTGGTGTCCTTGAGTACACGATCGGTGACGGCGGCTTCTCGAGTGGCGTGGAGGGAACAGGCGAGGTAGGACCGTCATTAGAGTACTCGGGCAGTGGTGGGATGGACAGAGGAGGTGCAAGGCGTCCTTGGTGTATGGTGGATTTCCGTTGGATGGTTCGCTCAGCGACCTGAGAGTCGTTGCTGACATTGACAACACGCTGGGACATGTTCCGCATAATAGTCCCAGCCCTGTGTAGAGGCGACTCGAAATTGCCAGGCGATAACGAGCGCTTCCTTCCTCGTGAGTCGCGCACGTTGCCAGCCTCCACCTGCCCAATGTCGCCGCCATGCCGGGCTGTCGGCGAGGCATCACCAGGGCTGAGAAAGTGCACACTCTGGAAGCTGGATCGCTCGTTGGGAGTGGAAGGGGCTGTAGCTCCGCTTATCGGTTGGAGATTGCGCGCGTCGGTCAAGCGGGCGGTATCGTCGTAGGTGGGGGAGAAGTAGTCGTGGTCTTCCGAGGTAGATCTGTCGACGTACGGTTCGTGCCCATAGGGTGTGTGTGTGTAGGACATGGACGATGCCGGCGTCGGTATTGGCGGCGATGTGTCGCCCTGGAATTCCATGCCCATGCCAAATCCAATGGCCGCCTGGAATGCGCCCGCGTCCAAGGGCGAGCCAGGCTCTTCGTCGTCCACGACCCTTCGGATGCCATTATGCGAAGGGGGTAGATTGGTGTTAATGTGCGGCGGTGCGTATCGCGTAGGGCTGGGCGACACCTCTACGATGGGCGAGTACTGAGAGTCGCGAAAATGTCCCCCTGTACCTATCGCGCCGGCCTGTCTGAGCAGATTGCGCCCGCGGTCGCTGAGAGTGCGCCGGTGTTCTTGCGACGCATCTTCGTCGAAGCCGTCGGGTGGGCGATTGAGGTCTTGCAGAGGTATTGATTGGTGGGGGTGACTTCGGCCGTGGTTGGGATCCGGGTAGGACATCGGGACGTCCTGTCTGATATGCGGCGTTCAACCCAGCATCTGAACCAACTAGCTCTCCCAGAATGCTATTGCGCGATCATGCAGGCGTCAAAACAAACGTAAGCGAGTGTCGTAGCGTAGAGAGAGCGTGGCAGCGAAGGCGAGAGCGGTAGGTGGCGCGTAGCAGTCCAAAGGGCGCGTGTGGTGTGTTTGGTGGGAAAGAGTTGGTTGAAATGCGGGATGGATGCGGATTCCCAAGCACGGACAAGGGTGTAGTGAGCGACCAGGATGCGCGGCTTAGGCTAGGGCTGAGGGTTAATTTTAGTTTAACGTCTACGGTACTTGTCGTGTTTGGCATGTGTCATCGCTGTCCTGTAGACGGTGCTATTACGAAGAACATGAATTTGTTATGCGATTGTGTACATGGCATTTGCTCTCCAAGTTAAAGCTAACCACCATACAGCATGAGTAACCAACACCACCCAGGAATCCGAAACTGCTGACGGCTTACCATGCAACGTCTCTGGCCCCTGGCGTGGAATCCTCCGGCACTGAGCCACACTTGGTGGAGCTGTGGCTTGTGCACTTGCGTGAGCCACGCGGCCTTACATCGTCACCTCCTGTCATCATGGCCGTGACGATGTTAATTTCGGTGGCTTGGTGGAGTCCCAACCGACGGCCGGCTGAATTGTCCATTCTGTCACGAAAGACCGATACTCTTGGAATGCGCATGTCCTGTAAGACGGGTGCATTAAGGTTTATAGGGACTGGTCTTAGTAAGCGGCCTACATTCATGCCATGCACTCGATATGCCATTGCCATAGCTCTGCCTGTGTAGTACAAGCAAAGCCGCTGTCTGCGTTCTTCGTCATCGTCATGAGTATTCTGTCTGCCAGATTGCATGTGCAAGGCTGGGCCGATGGCGCCTTACCGCTTTGGGCCTCCCCCGGACTCGCCGACAATCGACGCGCGACATTCATCACTCACATCACCAAAAAGGGACATCGGCACTCGCATCATCGCCCTACCCACGAGCCCGCCGACACCACGACAGCATTACCCATCGCCATCTCTCAACGCGCATCTGCTACCCACCATTTCTGGCCTCTACACCATATCCACACGTAACTCACACGCGTCGCCGCACGCGAGGCACCGCAGCCATGCCGTCTCGAAAACGCGCCGCCGACGAAATGGAGGCCGAGGCGCCTGTTGAAGAGCCCAGCACACTGCAGAAACTGCGCAACATGTGGCAGTTTGCAAACCTAGCCCAGTACATCAGTCTCTTCGGGGACGCGGTCAAAATCGACAAGGACTTTGACATCGAGGTACATGCCCTTTGCGCCTGCCATCCCAGCCCGGCGCGCATATGTTTTACAAGGACCACGAGCTGACACACGTGCAGGAATTGGAATCCGAATGTCTCCAACCACAGCCATCCGACAAACTCGCACAAATTGGCCTAGCGCTGCTGAAGCACGTATCGTCACACAAGGGCTTGACGTAAGACCTGGCCATTGCGCATAGTCTCGATAGTACTGACATGATGGTAGACCCGAAATCTTCGATGAATACACCCGCCGACAGTATGTCGCGAAAGCGCCCGCCCGAAACCCCTTTGGCGAGGAAGAGGAGCCCAACAAGTTCCACGACTTCGACGTCTTCACCAAAATACGCGTCTTGCAACAACTTTCCGTATGGACGCTCAACAACCCGAACACAATAAGGGAGAAGATTGGAGCGACGGACAGCGAGCAGACACTATGGGTAAGCACCACTCGTATTGGTGCAGGGCAATGACTAACATGCCACAGCGTATGGAGCCCACGGGCTGGGACTCGCAAGAGCGATCGCTATTCGTTCTCGACGACAACCGCATGTACCGAATGACGGATCCACCTCCACCTCCCGAACCTACGAAAGCCAAGGCCAAATCCAAAGCAAAGCCCAAGAAATCGAGAGGTTCAAGAGCCAGCAAGCGACAAAAGGCGTCCACTCCCGAACCCGAAGAAGCCGAAGAGGAGGAGCAGGCCAACGACGAGCAACAGCCTCAGGAGGACGACGGTCTCGGGGGCAAGAAGTGGGAGTGCATTTGCGTCACCTTGGAAGACTACCAGGAATACATGAGCAGCATTCGGAAGAGTCGCGACCCAAACGAAAAGGTTCTATACAAACGACTCCAGGAAGACGTCATGCCTGTCATGGAGGGGTTGGCAGAGGAGCAAGCAAAGAAGCAGGCCCGCAAGATGAAGGAGTTGGAGAACATGCAGAAGCTTGCTACAGCGAAGCGCTCGTCCCGAATCTCATCGCGACTCGAGAAACAGAAGGAGGTTGAAGAAGCCGAGGCTGCGGAACGTAAGAGGCAGGAAGAACTTGCTATGGCTAAGGCGGAGCAAGAGAAGCAAAAGAAGATGGAGGAAGCACAGGATTCTCGCAGGATGACTCGTGAGCAACGGCTGAAGGAGCGTGAGACGGCAAAGATTCTGAAAGAAGAGGAGCTGCGTAAACTGCACGAGAACGAACAGAAGCTGGCCTCAAACAACGCCAGGCTATCGGAGCGGCACCTGAAAGCCATGATGAAGAAGCACGAGAGTGATCTCAAGAGGCTCAACGAGGAGGAAGATTGGTTCTTCGACTGCGAGAAGTGCGGCACTTACGGCTCCAACCTGGTAAGTTTCACTGCACAACGACTATGCAATCCGCTGACTTTAGTAGAACGACAACACCCCACAAATATCGTGTGAGAAGTGCAATGTCTGGCAGCACATGAAGTGCCATGACATCACAGAAGAACAGGCCGACGATTCGAAGTTTACGTTCGTTTGCACTGCCTGCAACCGTAAAGAGGGAGAGGCGGATGAACCGAAGCTCCCTTCTCTCAAGCTACGATTGACATCCCAGTCACCACGAAACCAAGCAGAAGCAAACGGCAACGGCCCCTCTATGTCAACGAATCTGTTTGACGCAGTACAACTACCACGGCCACAAGCTTTCCAGCCCTCCATGCATCCCGCCCAGCCATGGGTCGACGGCCCAAGTCTATCTCCCCGTGGTCAAGCTCTAGGTCCACCTGGCATACAAAGATCGGAAGCTGCCTATGGATCACCCACCAAAGGCGCGAACGGTAGCATGTCATCACCAATACGATCTCACTTCTCATCTCCTGGGCACAGAACTGGCAACGGTCCAACATCGTCACCTCCACCGTACAACCTTGAACGGATACCGAGCAGCCCAACGAAAAGCTTCCACATGCCACAGCCACAGCAGAACGGCAGCTCTTTCGGCGGCCCCAACCCCTTCAACTCAAATCCATTCGGCCCACCGCAGCCCGCAGCACCGTATGTGCGGAGCTTCAGTCGCCCAGCATCAGCAGCAGGCCCAGGCGGCTCACCAGTAAAGCACTCACCAGCCGCCTCCCCCCGCCCTACCAATGGCCTACCACCAAGCTTCAACTTCAACAGCCCCCACTCCTCGTTCCCACCCAGCTCCGCCAACCGCCCCTCCTTCTCCCCAACCAAACACAGCTCGCCAGCGCCCCTCCCAGCAAACATGTCATCGCCGGCCCCAGCACCAATGCGCATAGCTCCGTCACCATCATCCCAAATGCCCGCACAGATGCTCCCAGACCCCATTCCTGCGCCCTCAAAACACGATGCCATGCGCCCGGTATCGAGCCACCAAATGTCCGAGACGCCCATCTTCCCGCCGGTCAAGAGTCTGGAACCACTTTCCAGTCCGACTATCCTTGATCCGCCCGTCAAGAAGTCGAGTCCGGCGCCGAATAGGATTCTTGACGTAACAAATGGCTCGAACGGATATGATCATGGAAGCAGTCAGTGAGCCTCTGATGCACCCGATGCAATTTCAGGGTGGAGGTGTGCACTTTCTCCCATGGCCAAAAGGATAGGCCTCTTGTTTCAGCAAGGCTACGTCATCCCTTTGAACCCTGTTTCCTTTTGCCTGCTATCCTCCTTTTCTCTTTCAGCAACCGTTGCGGCGTTTTTTGGGTATTAAGGGCAACACGTCAACTAGACATTTCATAACAAGTCTGGCTCAGGTCCATCTCTTGCATAATTAGGGTATATGGAGTGGGTGGGGGTTGGGGCATGTCGACGGACGATGTTTTTCTCTGGCAAGAAAGCATTGGTGTGGGTCATGAAAAGACGGTTGCATGCATGGAGTATTTTTGCTTGGTTTTGAGCGTGGTTTTCTTGCTGCTTATAGCTTTGTTTGACTCGCGGCGATGGATTGATTGAAAGGCCCTTTTGTATTATTAGATGTACCATTGAGAATGGAAAATTGAGTATATTGTACAGTGAAATGTCCAGGTCATGTCATGCGTTATGGGGCGGTATGCGAAGGGGTAACTTGTGCAGCTCCTCACATCGCGAGTAAAAGATACATCCAGTCTTCTCACTAAACTATTCGTCCAGACGATACGACGTATTCGCTATATCAGTTGGGTTATAATAAGGCGTCTTCATGGGACACCAATCGTCGTCGCAGTCGTGTTCATCGCTATCCTCATCTTCCTCGTCGCCATACAACTCATCCCTCCTCCCGTTCATCTGATTACTGTCGATAACCTGCTCAGCTAGTGCCTCAAGGAGCGTGTACCGATCTCCTCCACCATCACCATCGCCAACGCCATCCCCCGCACACCCCATCAAGCCCTCATACTCACCCCCAAGTTCATCAACAACCGCACGCATCTGCTCGCAGCTAACATATTTTCCTACAGCACCCCAATCGGACCCAGGTCTTTCCCCGTCCACTATAGGAAGACCTTTCCAAGCCTGTCGCAGTATCTGCACACAATAATGGAAGAAAAGATAACACTCCTTCGGTCTACCTTCCTGGGCAGAGGCAGGAAATCCTACTTTTGATCCGTCCATATCGCGGAGTGGAACCGGCCTACGGGCATTTGTAAAAGAATTGATATCTTGCATCAGCCCGCCCGTCTGTTCGGTCTCTCGGTTCTGCGTGAAGATCTTGAGTTTGTATTCTCTTGGTGTGGTGTTCTTCCACAATGCTATTTCGGAAGGGGACGTGGGGGATGAGATATCGGGAACAATGGCCATGATACCACTGTCGAAGCGTGCCCCCATGTAATCGGGTAGGAGAAGTCCGTTGAATGATGAGAAGAGAGAAGAAGGGGAGTCGATGTTGCTGGACCCGAAGAGTGCGGTGGCAAGGTCTGGATTGGACTGAGAGGCGAAAACAGGTAGAGCTTCAAACCGCCGATAGCCTCCGTATTCGTAGGCCCCGGAGAAGATGTTCCAGAGGTAACTCCAGTACCTGCGATTGTCTTTTTCCCTGGGATCCACCAATCCTTGGTCTGCGATGATGGAGTTTCTGAATCCGTGGGGTGCGAATGTGGCTTCTATATCGAACCGCGATGGGGGCATGGCAGAAACTGGTATGAGCGACTTCAGTCTAGTGCTCTTTTCAGTCTCGACTGCTTCGGCTCCAGCAGCACGTCGCTCATATATCTTCCCTTTCAAATCCCAAGCCATCATACTCTCCCTGAACAGCCGTGCTTTATCCGTTCTCATGAATTTGACTTCAGGTCCATGGTCGTCGATGTAGAAGGTACGAAAGTCGTATTCAGCTCTTTCGAGCTGGCATAAGGACAACCATCGACCCAAAACTGCATAATCCATGGCTCTTTCCCAGTACTCTGCACTGGACATATTTCTGTGGTTTAGTTCTTCCCCCAGTGCCTTCATCTTGTCTCTGGCGGTCTCTATCCGCGTGGTGTGCTTTTCTGATTCTTTCTTCCAGGCTTTTGAGATTCTCGAAGAGCGAGACGAAGACGAAGACATAATTGCTTGCGTGCGTGTGATTTCGGATTAAAATAGGATGCATTAGTCTAGATGGACTACGAAAAGGGTGCATTTGTGTTCTGGTAGGACTGTATGACTCTTTCGTAACGTGGTGCTCGGTACCGAGAAGAACTGGGCATGAACCTGAACCGTGGAACAGGTCAACATTTCTGACACTTATCCAGTCTCAGTAACATATGCAGTAGCCCCCTTTCACTCTTAATAAAATCGAGAAATAAGAATCCGCATGATGGCCCGGGGATACTAGCGACGGAGTCGTATCGGACAAACGCCCGAAGAACGTGAAGGCGTGACTTCATACGACAGCCAACGTATCAGCAACACAATACAATGAGAAAGCTTAGCTTGAGCAGTATTAGTCAGTACACATCACCAAATATGACGATCTTTTCATGTAAACCCTTATCAGCACGCACGATTTCAGCTGCACTTGTAAACATCATTCTCATATTACAACTCCCCAACTACCTTTATGCTACCCAGAAAACGCCCAAACAGCGCCGTTCCCCATACCCAAAACACCAATGTATGCGAACAATATGCAAACACGCTCAACAGTAGATTGTCACACACAACAGCACAGCAGTAGCAGCAAAGAGACACAGTCAAAGTCGCCGCGATCAAGCCTTCAACCTCCTCTCCTCACACCTAACACAAACCGGATCCTGACTCTCGCCCCGGAGGAAATACCTCCCATCTTCAAAAGGACCAGAGCAGCACTATTCTTCACGTTAGCAAATTGACCCAAAAGACGGAAAGACGGGGGATAGACTTACAACACAAACGAAGCACCCAACATGCCACTCCGCACCCAACGCCTTGACAACCGTATCCGTAACCGGTTTCCTACACCCCTTACACTTCGTGCTATACCGATGCGTATGACAATTAACACACCAAGCATACCCATCCTTCTCCACAAACGGCGTGTTGCTATCAAACGGATCGCCACACTGCGCACAGAAAAAGTGACCAGCATGCCACTCGGCACCACAAGCCACAATAACCTCGCCTTCAATAGGCGTCTTGCAGCTCTTGCAGCGGGGCGAAAACAGCTCGTGGAAATCGAGGTGGCAGTAGAAGCGGGGCGTTTCGTCTGTGCCGTCGTCGTGCTCGAGGCGCGCCATGGAGTCGGCGGTGGGGTGCGACGGCAGGTATGGGATGTCGGCGCCGGAGAGGCGGGCGCGGATGCGCGAGACGCGTTCGGCGTGTTTGTTGGAGGGTTCGGGGTAGAAGGCTACGCATTCGAGGTGCTCGCCGCATTGGTAGCAGGCGAAGCATTCCGGGTGGAAGCGCGCGCCGGAGGCGGAGACGATGCGGCCGGCGATGGGGAGGGCGCATTGGGCGCAGAGAGCGCCGGTGCGGACGGTGGTTGGGGTCCAGTGGGTGCGAGGGGTGGCTGTGCCGTTGTAGCTGTGAGACTTGTTCTGGGCGTTTGGTACTGGCAGTGGTCGTGTTGACGCCGCTGGGCCAAAGCCTTTAGGTGTGTTGACGTTGATCGAAGGCACTGAAGGGCTGACGTTGATCGAAGGTACATTGCTGTTGCGTCCGCGAGTCGGAGCTGGGGTCTCATTGACGGATATGGTCGGAATGTCAGGAGTCACGTTGATAGATGGTGCAGTCGCTCCCCTTCTCAGCGCGGGCGTCTCGCTCACAGAGATGCTGGGAATTGGTGGAGCGTTGCCTCTCGACCCACGGTTTGGCGCTGGCGATTCGCTCACAGATATCGAAGGGACTTCCGGTGTTACAGAGATTGAAGGTGTTGTAGAGCCTCGGCTCGGTGCTGTAGTCTCGCTGACTGATATGCTGGGAATAGGCGGCGTAGCACTCGTTGGCGGAACGTAGGGGCCACGGTTGAACATGTTCTTCCTGGCCGATATCGACGGGGTCTCGGACACGGAAATAGAAGGAACTGGCGGCGCTGGTGTCGTCCTCGAACGCGCAGGCGCCGAGTCAGATACATTGATACTAGGCAGAGGAGCAGCAGAAGGACGAGTTGGTATATTGGCTTTCCTTAGCGAGCTGGTGAGCGGCAGAGGTCTCGTTTGGGCTGGAGGGTCCTCGTAGATGTTGATGGTAGGTTTGTTTTTCAGGTTGAACCGTCCGGGTGCGGGCGCGGAACCAGACGAGCTGTTAGCCTCTGGAGCCACAGGCGGTCTTGGAGTTGTGCTTCGTTCTGGTACGTCCGGTGCAAGGCTGGTTTTAGGCTCGGAAGGAACGTTAATCTCTGGAACTTGCGGTCTTGGGGTGATATTTCGTTTGGGCACTTCTGGTGCGAGACTGATAGTAGGTACGACAGGTTCAGTTGCGGCGTGCTCCAGTGGCGGCGGGCCAGATTTGGTTGTCTTCAAAGGTTTTGGTGCCAGATCGGGTGCAGCAGATATCTCTTCCTTCATTTCAATGACATTCCAGTTCTTCTGGAAAGAAACGATCGGTCGTCCTGGAGCATCTGAGACAGCTGTAGGAGTAGGTAGCTTCGCACTACGGTCCTTCAGACGGAAGCCTGTAGCAGCACGCAGCTCGTCGCTCCTGATCTCCTTGCCATCCTTCATCTTCACCTCCGGAACATTCTCCACGTCCGCCTTGACATCTTCTGCTGGCTTCGATTCTGCCGAGTTCAGGGTATACGCTGCGTTTCTCGATTGGGTTGGTGGGTTCTTCTGTATCTCGTAGCGGTCGAAACGCTTCGTCGCAATGGCAGGATCCGTGCTGGACCTCACCAGTGGGTTCCCCTTGATTGATTGGAAACGCATAAAGGGATTGCGCCGTATGCCTAGTGGTAGTTTTTCGGTCTTGGGTGGTTCGGCGGCGGGGGTGGGTTTAGGAGCAGGCGGTGCTTCCTCTTCGGGTTCTTCGTATATCTGGTCGTTCGGGTTGGAGAAAAGACTCCCGCTGATGGTTCGACGGGGTCCGCTGCTTCTTCGTCTTTGTCTGAAGTCTGGGAGGTCTGAGATGGCTTTGGCTAATGCTGGTGACTCGCCGTTCTTACCCTTGATAATGTCAAAGCTACTCTTGGTAGGCGACGCGGTTCCAGCAGCTGATGTATCGACATCGCCTGCACGGCCGTTGCTCTGCAAGCTGCTACTCCGGCTCCCTGACGCGGCACTCCCCATCGAATGTCGCTTCCGCAGTTTAGAATTGGCCCGTTGCAGATCCTGATCCTTCGGCTCGACGCTCCGACTCCTCTGCGCGCTGTTCTTTCTGGCCAGACCCGGGTATGCATACGGTTTGGTCGGACTGGCCGCGGCGGCATGGGGATTGCAATGCTTCCAGACCAATTCGACGGCTTCGTCTCGTGCAGCCTCGAATATCTTGCCCTCCTCCTTTGCCAGTTCCAAGTCCTCCATGGCCACGCGTATAGCCCGTGCCTCGTCCTGCTCTGCCTGGCGCTGTTCCCTCTCGCGGTATTGCACGCTGGGTGTGCGCGATCGTGACGAAGACCGTGATGTCTCCCGTCCGCGTGGTGGCTGTACTAGCGGCCTTCCAACACTGGCTACGACTCCATCTAGGCTCGCTTTGGACGTTGTTCGGGTATGCGACTTCGGTTCGTGCGAGGAGGCGGGACGTGCATCGGCGTCGACGACAGGGTCTGTGAAGGTACGCTGGAGGGAGGAGATACCAGTCGAGTCGGACATTCGGTTGCTGGATCTATTCGACCATGTGTTGAAGTGTGCAGGAGCAGGTCGAGCTCCGGTGGGACGAGCGGGGCGGTTTGTGCGAAGGTCTTGAAGATAGCTCTCTATGCCAATCGTCAGTATGGCAGGTGCGAAGGCGTCGCTGTAGTTCTTACTCATTTGGGACGGCGAGTAGTAGGCTCCAGGCCCTGGTGACGCAGCACCTTCCCTCTCCTTCGACGTGAACATTGCGAATATACGTCGGCCTCGGTGTTTACTGCTCTGTTTGCTGTACGATTGTCGGTGCACCAGTCGGGAGTGCCAGCTTTTCTGCCCAGAGAAACAGGGATAGAGAACGATATGTGAAGAAGTGAAGATTAATTGTACGACCCGACGCAGCGAAAAAGCGGTGGTGATGTGGTTGCGATGCTGCACGTAGCTTCTCGATCCGGTTGCCCAGCAACTGCAGGTGTGACGCAGACCGCCCCCATCCCTGCAAGCCTCATTATCCCCGGATCTTCAGGGTCCTTTCATCGAGAGCATGGCCAAGTATCGATTGCAATCGATATGATATGTTAGCTTCAAAAACAACGAGTTCCCTCGATAATGACATCTGTCAACGCGTTCGCAATTTCGATCCGAGGTGGTTCCGTCGATGTACATGTCTAGCCGCGTGCACGGATCCGGGAGAATGTCACAAGGACCCAGGATGATACCTGGGTATGCCAGTTCCAGTGTTGTTTTTACATGATAGTATACAACGTTCGTTCTATCCGCCCTCTATAATGCGTAGGTAGCACTACGTCATCTAAAACCGTCGGCAGGCGATTTACCAGAAAACACGCGAAGCTAATGTGCGCGTGACCTAAAAGTCAAGCCCACCCATGCTATCAGCCCTAACACCAAATCCAATCAAAGCGAAAGTGGGTATCCTGCTATTTCAATGTACACATCCCCAAACAACGAATCCCATCATACTCCAGCAGCATTCGGTTGATTCTCATGCCCAGGGCCAACTGAATCCCATCCCATCGTGACGCTTTCCAACATCGAATCCCAGGACGCGTCTGCCATGGGCGTCAGGCCTGTCCCTGCGTTCAACGCTGCGTATTCCCATTCGTTACCCATTACGAAGCCATCAGTATAAGCATCATTACCCATGTTTCTGGGTAGATTGAAGCCGTTTGTAGGAAACGTTCCTCCACTAGCTGCGAGGTCTGGGAAGACGCTGCCAGAGCCTGGCCCAGTCATCTTTGGCGATGCCCGGTATGGCATGTTGTGTTCGATTGGTTGGCCTGGTGAGTAAGAGGAATGTGACGTCGAGCCTCCTCTTGACTGTGAGCTTATGGTGGCGGGGCTGGGCTGATCGACACCCCTATCGCCTCCGGAGAGGTCCATCTCGTTGTCCTGGAAAGTAAAACCACCGGCGGGCCCGAAGGCTTGAGCTGCAGTACTTCCGAAGCCTCTGTTTGCATCAAATTGAGATGGTAAAAAGGTCGCATTGTGCGCGTTCATGTCGATACTGTCGATATTGTGCAGTTGGAATGGCGGAGCAGGGGCGCTGCTCGAGTATTGCGTATTGGAAGTCGATGCCGATGTGGTTGGAATGCCGTTCCCGAACGTACTGGGGGTTGTGGCAGGTTGATTCGGTTCGCGTATATTGATTAACGGACTGCAGTTGGTATGCGGATCAGAATGGATCGAAATGACGGTAGGCTATGGGTCAGGAATTAGTAACTTACTTAGGATAACTCTGACTTAATCGACTCCCAATCGTATCACTGAGCCCCTGGAGAACCTCTGGGGTTTGACTCACTTTGCGCGTGGGCTGTGTGTATGGCTGATGACGCATGCCCTGCAGACCTGCACCCTCTAGATCAAGATCTAATTGCACCAAGAACGACTCTGTGAGTGGGTTCTTCCGTCGAAGAGCTTCCATCGCCTGTAAGAGGAATTGTAACGAGGATTTCATCTGTTGGTCTTTCGGCCGCGTCTTCAGGTATTGGACGAATACCCTTGCTGCTACGTAAACACAGAAAGATATAAAAGGATTCATCTGCCCAAATCAGTAAACGCCAATCGTCGGCCGTTACCAAAAGACTTACTGAACCGAGGTCCATATGACTGATCATCCGCATGATGGAAGCAATCTCGGCTGCTGCTGTTACGCAACGAATCTTGCTTTCATTGCTGACGCTTGCTGGTAGCCGGAATTTGTCTGCTTTGAAGATGGCTGCTTGGTGAAGACATATTGCCGACGTATGTATGCACATGTTCGTGAACACTACGTTGGGTTCGGCTATACCGGATGGCAGGCGGATGCTATCCGGCAGGCTCAGCGAGGTCTGCAGAAGTATGCGCTCGATGCTTCGATGTCGATTCCAGAATCCGCCATTGATATCGTTCTCGTTGTCATCTGACAGTGGTCGATGTAAGTGAAGCAGATTACGGCCAAACATTGCAGCTGTAAGGACGATACCGCCAAGTGGTTGAAGGTTTTGCACGCCATTAGGATTGAGTAATTGGTCCAGTGATCCAGTATCCATGGGCTTACTCTTGTCGAACGCTTCTTCGCTTGCTGGCAGGTTTGTCATGATCTAAAAAAAGTCAGGCTTTGCAGTAGTATGAGCACGAGAGGTCTGTCCTTACGTCTTTCTCATCGTAGGTCATGGGCCAGCCAGTTCCAATACTCGCGTATCGATCAATGCAAAAGGTTAGCCAAAAGGTTCTCCGCCGTTCCTCACGCTCGGTCCAATCCTTGGGTGGAGCCAAGCATTGCTTTACATCTAGTCCAACTCCGTCCAGGCGATGCAGCTGCATCATCTGGGCTAGTCTTGAACCTCTCCCGGATGACATCCAGGCTCTTGGGAAGTACATCTGTCTGAACTCGTACGTAGCCATCAAAACCCATGTCTGGCAATGCGCAAGGGTGATGGTCGACTCTCCGTGGCCTCTCATCTCATCCATCTGCGCATATTTCCTAGCACGTTGGTAGAAATGTTCTTGTAACGCCTCGTACTTGTCTGTGATGGAAGCGGCTAGGGTCCACATGATATATCGCAGACAAACCGGCGGTCGCATATGAGGAGCCAGGTTCAGAGCGGCCATGAACCGTGGTCTGTGTATGACGGGCATTGAGAGATGGATCTTGGCGAAATATATTTGATATCTGGCAAGATGTCAGCGAAATCACCGTGCTACAGGCAGGATTCGGCTCGTACAAATCGTCCTGGATTTCTTGAGGAGGTAGAGGTTCCTCGAGCCCAAGCCCAATCATCTCCCACGAGGTGTCCTCCGCATCATTTCCGCTTGTACCGGTATTTTGGAATGGGCTTGCGCCAGTGATCCTCGACTGAGTATTGCCTGCTGTATTGGGAACATTTGTAGAATTCGGCAGCGATTGACTTATGGTATTCGCAACGTATGTGGAAGCGGCGTCCTGGCGCGGGGCTTCCTTGCTCGGGTCGGTCGTGTCTTGAGTCTTGAGGAGGGTCTCGACTTGCTCTGTATCCCATGAGTCAGTACCATCCACCAGCAGAAGTATGCGCAACTTACGCAGCCGTTGTTCGAGCAGCTTGACATAGCCGCGCTTAGGTCCACTTTTCTTGCGTACTTCGTCGTATGCGCAATCGTGGTTCAGACGTTTACAGGTCGAACATGTTGGCCGGGTGCCGTCGCATCGCAACTTCCGCTTCCTACACAGAACACAGGCAATCCTCTTGACCTTGCTTGATCCATCCTGTTGCGTTTCCTGACCGTTGGTAGAATTCGCGTCTTGCGCTTGTTGGGACAGGTCGTTGAAGAACGACTCGTCTGGCGATTCGGATCCGTTGGAAGCCATGTTGGCGAATCTTGCTGGTCTTTGGCAGTCCAGGAGGAGTCTTGGATCCACGTTGGCTCAGACGAACCGCCCCCGCGTAAGCACGGCTCAAACGGATGAGGGTCCTCTGTCTAGCCACGATTTCCGTTTGATTGCGAGATCTTAATCGAAGCTACGTCGGCAGTATAACGGGCGCTCTAAGCGTCGGTGTTCGGTGAAGAGCTCGGAGTCTCGAATGCGCGCGGGTAGGCACCAGCGGTTGATCAGCACTAAGAGCGCGTTATGCCTCTAAGGTGGGTGTAAGAGTGTGATGTTAGAAGTGCATGTGCTATTGGGTGTAAAACAAGCCATGGCTGAGCTACGCTCATGTACCTGGTCTCACCTCCAAGGCCGTCCGCGCAATGCGTGTTGCCTTAAGCGTGAGGTGATGTGCAACGTCGAGCATATGGACTAATTATGGCGGATCTCCCGAGTTCTGGGATTGCCAGCAAGGACCCCTTACCGTAAGTTCGCAGCTACATAGACGATTACTGATACAGAGAGTTTGCTCTCTAGGTCCTGATAGCTACCCTGGAGCCCATGGTGTTTCTTTACGTGCTCTATTGTGCATGTGGTTGTTTCGTGGCTGCAAGGTGCTGTATGCAGCTTCGCCAGAGCGGCATGGTGGGGCAGTAGTCCAGCCCAAGATGGATCAAAATGCGACCGATCTACGCGCAGCGTCTTGTGTCATCAACCCAAACATGGAGACCAGGTGTCGGCCTGTCAACGGTCACACCACTAGTAATCAGGAATTCATGTACTTGAACGGTGCGCGCAGAGATAAGAATGGTCAAAGTTAAATAATGATGCCACCTACCGTTCATTACACGGCTTGATGAGCTCGCGGTAGGAGATCTGGTTCTGCCCCGGCCACAAGCAGCCAAGTGATCTATGCATGCCCAGGAAGCCGTGGTCGTGAAATTGCAGAAGAGCCGCAACGTCCAAAGTTCCGACCCCCGAGCTTGGACTCTGCTGGCACACGTCAGGACCTCAGATGCGACCGAGAGAGTCCCCGAACCTCGATGACATGTCGCAAACATTATTTGAAGGCGAAATTCGAGCAGATGATGCCGAATTGCTTGAACAGGGATGCACGTTTGGTTGAGCGATGCGCATGATGGGGTTATCGGTGAAGCACTGGGGTAGCCAGACCAGCTGGAGTCTAGAGAGCACAGCTAACATTATGCATTTGCTGCTGTTGTGCAAACATATCGAAACGCAACTGGGTGAGTACTGATGTATATTGGTAGACGGCATGGCATGCGACTACAGTATATGGTACAGCTGCATCTTGAGCATATAGTACACCGGCGGCCACCCTACCTCGCCCTCCGCTTTCCTTGGTTGCGGGGTTTATCTTGGACGAGGAATGTGTGCTTGTTCCTCTTGTGCCTCGTCTTGTAACCTCCCTTTGCTGGAGTGCCCCACGGACTGACGGGGTGCACGTTACCCTTTGATTTACCACGACCACCACCGTGGGGATGATCGGCTGCGACATGTTAGAAGACTGCAACTGAAGTGAATAATTCAAGAACTGACCTGCGTTCATGGCGAGACCACGGACCTCTGGTCGCTTTCCCAGCCACCGTGAACGTCCGGCCTTTCCAAGTGATGTGAAGTGTGATTGCGGGTTGCTGGCAACGCCAATGGTGCAGCATGCGTCTGCGCTGACTTTGCGGATTTCACCGCTCATCAAGCGGATAATAACGTGCTTGATCTCTGTGTTACTGCCCTTCTCCACCTCCTCCTTGTTCACGATGATGGCGTATGTACCGGCACTGCGGCAGAAGACACCTCCGCCTTTTGTCTTGGTACCAACGTTGTATACCTGCGAACCGAGGGGCACCATGTGGATGGGAAGGCAGTTTCCACGTGCGGCTGTCTTCGCGGCCAGCATACCGGGATCGATACCACCACCCATGCTGTCAATCAGGTCCTTGGGAATACCCGTCCTGTAGCTCTCGACCTCATCGCCCGCCCTCATGCCATCTGCAGCGATGATGTACGACTTCTCTCCAGTAGCCACGCGGGTGATGAGGGCCAGATGCGAGCTCCGGTTGGGGTCGTACTCTATCCGCTCCACCACATGCTTGCCGGGTAGGTATCGCTTGTAGTCGACGATGCGTATCCTCCTCTTGTGGCCACCGCCTCTGTGCCTGACCGTGACCCGTCCGGTGTTGTTCCTTCCTCCGAGATGCTGCCCCTTCCGTTCGATAGTAAGCTTCAGGTGCGGTCGTCCCTTCCACAGGTGGTCGTTGACTGGTCGTTTGAGATGGCGCAGACCAGGCGTGCGGGGCTTGTATGTGCGCAGAGGGATAAACTTCTCCTTGCGCGAGCCTTCCTGTTTCAGTACTCCGGCGTCGGCAGCCACGGTAGGCTGTATCGCTGGGGGAGGTTTAAGGTCGATGGCCTGGACCTGTGCGTAGGTGCGGGCAGACAGCAGCGCCCGGCCTAGTCGCGAGGGCTGGAAACGACATATCCGCGGCTGCAGCATATTTGGGGGTGCAGCTGGGGACGCTGGATGCTTCACGCTGGTGCAATGGACGCCGGCTGGATGGCGTGCAGCTGCTCGTCATGTCACGAATAATTCTCAAACCCGCCGCAATTGGCTAGGCCGGCCCGGGTGGGTCGGGCAGGCAGGGCGCGATGTCCCAGCAACAACGTGTGTCTGCTTCCTCGCCCACCACAACACGCTCGTCTTCATCGCCATCTTTACGCTGCACTTGCCAGAACCCCCATCTCACAGCCCAGCTGCTCGCCCGCGACCCATCTTACTGCACGGGCAAAGTTTACGCGTTGGGGCCTGGTGTCATCTCTGGTAAGTCCACTGACGCGCCTGTGGGGCGTGCACTGTTGCCCTCTGCCAGCCTCGAATGCGATTTTGGCGCGTGGGACGTGGAAGCCAAGCTAGCCTGCCCTCGCTCAAAACACACAACATACCTCTCTTCCTACCCACAACACACCTTGGTGCACATCCTCTCTCGCCCTCCCCCATCCTCCACACTCCCTCTCACGACTGATTGCAGCTGGACCGTTACCCTGTCCACTCAATTACCACGCACCGAGCGCTCCAAGGGTTCGTCTCTCTCGCCCGTCACGTCACCGTCGCTGCCGCACCCCATCGGGCGTGTCAGTCCGGCCAGCTTTCGCGAGCATCAACCGTGGTTCTGTATGCAACATCGGTGCATGCACACCGCGGCTTTTGATGCTCCCGCGTTGGCAGCCTCTACGCGCGCTTTTTCAAGCTTCACCGAGCTCTGCTGACACCTCAAAACAGTGTATCAAAACAAGTCCTACAGCCGCCATTCCACTCTCCAGATATACTCAGCACCTGGATACCTCTCTAGCCTTGATCAGCATACATAATATTGCTTGCAATGCCTCCCGCTGTACGTCGTCGCCCTTTCACCTGCACTCATCCCATCTGCTATCGTCCCATCTCCCATCGGCGCGAAGCAACACGTCCATCACGATTCACTCTACTAACGCGTGTTACAGGCTCGATCTCTCAGGCAGCGCGCCGTCACCAACGAGAACGATGAGAACGCGGCTACGACACGCTTGACGCGTGCAAAGGCCGCCAACCTCGGCGCCAACGAGTCTGCTGCCGACGTGCCCAAGAAGACTCTCCAGGCGAAGAAGTCCACTGCTACTCTAGGCGCGAACGGTGCTGCCACGCGTAAGCGTGCTGCCCTCGGTGACGTCAGCAATGTCACCAAGACCGACGGCCTCGGTGCTGTCGCGAAGGATGGAAAGAAGGTCCTGGCCACCAAGGGCGCAGTCTCCAAAGCAGCACAGCCCACCGGCATCAAGAAGCCATCGCGGGCCAACTCGACGCGTTCCATGTTAGAACCCAAGGAGAAGAACCTCGCGTCATCCGAGGTGAAGAAGCGCGGTGCCAGCGGCAACGGTATCGCCGGCCAACCAGCCAAGAAGCGAATGCAAATTACCAAGACCGTCAAGGAAGAGGACCCCGAGGAGGAGCTCAAGGAGGAAGATGAAGAGGAGGCTGAGAACGTTGTCCCTGAGGAGAACGTCACCGAGGAGAAGGACACCAAGGCTGCCAACGGCACCAAGAAGGAGCTTGAGCCAATCACAGAGGTCTTCTACAAGGGCCCAGACCTAGACAAGGAGGACGTCGACGACCCATTGATGGTTTCCGAGTATGTTGTTGAAATCTTTGAGTACCTCAAGGAGCTAGAGATTGCGACCATGGCCAACCCGGACTATATGGAGTCCCAGACTGAGCTTGAGTGGAAGATGCGCGGTATTCTCGTCGACTGGTTACTCGAAGTTCACACTCGCTTCCGCCTCCTCCCGGAGACTCTCTTCCTTGCTGTCAACATCATCGACCGCTTCCTCTCAGCCAAGATCGTCCAGCTTGACCGTCTTCAGTTGGTTGGTGTCACCGCCATGTTCATCGCGTCCAAGTACGAGGAGGTCCTCTCTCCCCACGTCCAGAACTTCCGTCACGTCGCCGATGATGGCTTCACTGAGGAGGAGATCCTCAGCGCCGAGCGTTTCGTCCTCGCTGCCCTCAACTACGACCTCAGCTACCCCAACCCCATGAACTTCCTCCGCCGGATATCAAAGGCCGACAACTACGACATCCAGACCCGCACACTGGGCAAGTACCTCCTCGAGATCGGCTGCCTGGACCACCGCTTCCTCGCCCATCCCCCCAGCCAAGTCGCTGCCGCTGCCATGTACCTTGCCCGCCTCGTCCTCGAGCGTGGCCCTTGGGACGAAACCCTCACACACTACGCTGGCTACAGCGAGGAGGAGATCCAGCCTGTCCTGCAGCTGATGATCGACTACCTCTCCAGCCCTGTCATCCACGAGGCCTTCTTTAAGAAGTATGCTAGCAAGAAGTTCTTGAAGGGTAAGTCATCGCATACTCCTTTTAATGTCTCGTTCACAACTAACAGTCACCAGCATCCATCGTTCTACGCAAGTGGGCAAAGGACTACGTCGCTGCCTAC